GATTATAAAAAGACCAAATAAAAAAAAAAAGCTAAAGTAATTGAGAAATATTCTCAAACAAAAATTGATATCTATGTAATCTTAATATTTTAGTGTGTGCCCACAACCACACTTGTAATCTTTAAATATACAAGAAATAAAGATTTGTTAATATTAAAAATGTCAAACTTAAAATATTTTATTGTTAAAAATATTAAAACATCTAGTCACAATTACAAAAAAATTTGAAATATAACATAATTTTTACTTTAATCTTATTCACTATCTAGTTGGAATTATTTTTTTTTTTTAATGTCATAATTTTTAATTTTCAATTTTTAAAAATAAACAATCATTGAACTTTAGCAGGAAGTTATCCTAAGGCAAGGTCTAGAGAGGTCAACTTTGGTGACTGGGCTGGTCGGCACCCATAATTAATTAATGATTTACTTAAGCTCGAAATAAGGTAAAAGTGATGATTTGATTTGAAATGATTAATTAGGAGGTGTTATTGGGATAATTTTTTAATTTTATTTTTTTATATAATTTTTTATTTTATTAAATGAGTAGATGCATTTAATATTATAAGTTTTATATGAATTAAAAAATTAATATTTTAATTGATATATTAAATTATACAAAAAAAAAATAAAAAAATTATATAAAAAAATAAAATTAAAAAATTATCCCAATAACACCTCCTAATTAATCATTTCAAATCAAATCATCACTTTTACCTTATTTCGAGCTTAAGTAAATCATTAATTAATTATGGGTGCCGACCAGCCCAGTCACCAAAGTTGACCTCTCTAGACCTTGCCTTAGGATAACTTCCTGCTAAAGTTCAATGATTGTTTATTTTTAAAAATTGAAAATTAAAAATTATGACATTAAAAAAAAAAAATAATTCCAACTAGATAGTGAATAAGATTAAAGTAAAAATTATGTTATATTTCAAATTTTTTTGTAATTGTGACTAGATGTTTTAATATTTTTAACAATAAAATATTTTAAGTTTGACATTTTTAATATTAACAAATCTTTATTTCTTGTATATTTAAAGATTACAAGTGTGGTTGTGGGCACACACTAAAATATTAAGATTACATAGATATCAATTTTTGTTTGAGAATATTTCTCAATTACTTTAGCTTTTTTTTTTTATTTGGTCTTTTTATAATC